GAGTCGAGCAAAGTCAAGGATGAGGAGCAGCATTGTAGCGCAGCTTATGTACTCGCTGCATGTTCCGTGACAGAAGGCCGGGCGAGCCTTGCAGATGGGTGAGAAGCAAACGATGCAAGAAAGATCATGCAATTTCAAAAGAAGGAAGTCCGTGCGGTATGAGCTCGAGGCTCGAGCGACTATGCTGTTGAGCCGCGCGGCGGTTTCAACCGATTGCTATCAAGCCATACAGAGTCGAAAGCATGTGTGCACTATCTGCGATTGAAGCAATGCGTAGCAAAAGGCGATACAGGTTGACGAATAGTCAAGTCATTGTCGTAGGTGAAATACTGACAGCACGCAAGTCCACCTGGAGTANACTTGGAGTAGTGCTCCATAGTTGTCACATTTACTGGATGTCATGAGACGTTCGAACAGCCCTTGATGGCTTATCAAGCTTGCAAGAAGATACAAAGAGTGCCCAGAATTGAAGCGAACATAGTCGATAGTGAATTGCTGTTGTGTTAGAGGCCATTAAACCACCTCGTATCCTTTACGATGTTACCATCAGTTGACGTTGATAACTCCTGGAGGCTAATTCCTGTCGGGAATCCGCGAGGCGCGTCCGCTGGAGAGACTGAGTTGATTGATTCGTCTCATTCCGGCTATGCCTGACATGTCCCGCTAGCCTCACATTCTGTTGGTCTATACAGACAAGCGCATCTCTTTTTGGGTCTCTCGTTGCAGCCGACAGACCTCATTCCCTCTCAGCNGGCAGATTTAGTGAGGTTGCATCGATTTACTCCATCGCCTTACGCGACGATCGATAGTCATACACCTACGGCACGCAACAGCATGCGTCATACGCACAGCTCAGCAGAACGTACATGGGCACTAAGTCGGTCACAGGCGAGTCGAATGCGCCGCGACGGCTCATATTTGTGTCAGAGTTATGATCCGAGATGTTCGTTCGTAGCGACATGGGCTGGCTTCTCGAAGATCAAATGCGGAATGCTCGCGCAGCATGGCTTCGCGCTTATTTTTTCGGCAACAGTCGGCAACGATAGCAAAGCATGCATTTCGCAGCCAGCAAAAGGTCCAAACGTTCTATTCGTACTGACTCGCGACCGTCGAAGCATAGCCGAAGCGTGGCGAATTGAGGAGGATCGCAAACACGAGACCCGAAGCAAGCGAGGTAAGTGGTACAGTGAGGATCTGCATCAAGACATTGTCAACTGTCGAGCCGGGTAGCTCTGGCCCGGGCTTACCCAGCCAAAGATAATCCACAAAACCTGTCTCCAGTTGACTGCCCTCCACGAGCCACCGCAAAGGCCCACTGCTACTGTGGAGCCTACGATGGTCTGCGTAGTCGAGACGGGCAGGGCAAGTTGCGTGGCGATGACGACCGTCGTAGCTGCTCCTGCTTCCATCGCAAAGCCTCGTGAAGGCGAATGCAGCGTGATCCGATTACCAATGCGAGACATCATTTTGTAACCGTATGTGGCCAAACCGATGACTATGAATGTTGCACCGTAGACGAGGATCCACACGGGAACCGGAGAACGACTGCCAGCTGTAGCACCTGTTCGCCAGATGAGGTAGATTGTGCTAAAGGGGCCAACTTCACGAGCAGTCTGCGTCAGCTCTATAGATCCATATGATGAAGCGACACGCACTAGCGTTGCTGACGTCATTCGCGCCGTGCGAGAAGCTCATGACGCAAGCTGTCATGACTTGCAAAAAGGAGAAGGCGTGCTCGGTAGAGTTGGGATGCTGCTTTGCCTGAGCATGTACGGCCGCAATCCGGGAAGCAACGCGATCGCTACCACCTGCTTGCATCGCCACGACATCCTGCTCGCTCATCAGCGACGCTCGGAGGAAGGGCTGCGGGTAGTATCGTAGTACTTACTCGTGTCATGTTATGCCACGGCTTTCGTATGGTATAGTGCTTCGCCAAGATCACCAGGTTGCTTGGAAGATACCAATCACCATCCAGGTGGGGGCGCACGAGATCGCCCTCCGCGTTAAATTGCACCTTGTCGTGAGTCAATGCGGTGCTAGACTTGAGATCTACTTTGTCCTCCGTAGACGGTGACTCGGTGCCGCCAAGGGCCTCTTGCCTGACATTCTTCTCGTCCACTGCATGTGTGCCGGCCTGAAAAGCTGACAGCGCTGCTATCTCTGGAGCGGGCGTGTCTCCGTGTCCCTTGTAGTAATCTTTGAGACGGTCAGCGTGATCGCTTCACCCAAGGATAAATCTTACCGGGCACGGCTGCAGGCGCAGTAAACGCACCAGCGTCAGCGGGAGGCACGCGACGCCAGAGCAATGGTCCTCTGCAGACATCCATATGAATTTTGCTTGACAAGGCTCATGAAGCCTTACCTGAAGAAATCCCACCAGCGTACGGTGTAATCGCCCCTGATGACACGCGCATAGACAAATGGCACCCAGAATAGGAAAGCCAGGAGTGCGACGACTGATGCGGTGCCAAAGATTGCAGCCACTGTAGTAGCTGTGGCCAAATTGTTGAGCTTGAGACCCGGCGAACCTTTCCAGACGACATTCATGACAAGGATAGCTGTAGCCGCGAAGAAGAAGAGAGGACCGAACATGATCGCCTTTTTGGCGCTGTCTTTGCGCTCAAGGATGCACAGACGGCAAATGGTGTAGATGATGGCCGACAGGATGCCGGCGATGCCAGGTGCAATAGCCCAGCCCGCGATGATACCCCCAACGCCTAGACAGATTTGATCAGCGTGCTCAGCCGGATGCAAACGTAGAGCGAACCTTTCCACCCCCATGAGACGCTTTCCATTGTGCCCGTAGCTGCCACGCCGACGCCGACGACAGCAAAAGTGATCGAGTGAGTGGTGGAGACGGTGAAGCCGATCTTGGTGGCTACGAGTAGCCAAGTAGCAGACACTGACAATGCCACGAGCATGGCCAGCATCAACACCGCTGGATCCTCGTTGAATGTCGACGTTTGAATGATCTTAGATCTGATTGTATCTGTCACACGCGAGCCTGCAAGAACGGCACCCAAGAACTCGCAAATAGCAGCAGCAATGGTGGCTTGGAAGAGCGTCAATGATCGCGATGACACGGACGTCGCAAACGAGTTGGCTACATCGTTGGCACCGATACCGTATGCATCGAGCGCCGCACCGATGAATCCCAAGGCGATGATCCAGTCATACGCGCCGAAGGCTCCCATTGTGCCAGCTTTGGCTCAAGCTATCGACACGTCTGAATTTATACCTGTATGAGAGATGCATTGTGCTTTACTCGGCGCAGTCTTGGACTCGAACGTGCTCTACCGAAGCTCGCTGGGCGTCAGGCATCGCTTGGCCGATTTTGCCAAGGCATATCTTGGCGCGTGGCGGGCGGGCGGAGAACCTCGAGAGCCCGTTCAGCGGAGCAACGGGGCAACAAGGTGCGTAGGCATTGTGTGCACTCCCAGACAAGCCGCCAAGACGCTTCCAGGCTGACGAATGACGACTTTGCTTGTTTCACGCGAAAGCCGCTGACTTTGCTATAGAGACACAATCATTTACGATCTGATGCTGATGAAGCGCCTGCACGAGTGCGAATACAGAACAACGACGATCGCGACACCTGCGAGGCTTGATTGTCGAGACCTATCTCAGGAGTTCCATCGCTGGGTGCTGTTTAATGAGCTTGGCAGTTGAGATGAGCAGATTGTCTCGAATAGGCAGGCCTATGATGAGCCGCGAGGAAAGTTGAAGATCTGCATTGCGATGCAAGCCATGCGCTGGAGACTGGAATGGGGAGTGGCGGCAAGCTTCGCCTGGGAGATGCAGAGCGAGCCGTGTCAGGTATTCGACCCTCATGGTCGATGATAGCCCGCCCCTGATCGAAAGATCTGCGCGTCATTAGCCCGCGCCTAGCTTTCCCTTAGCACTTTGGTCGAGACGCAGCTCGACTGCCACGGGACGGCGACGATCCGATCGCCTGCGACCAGGACCTCTGCAAAGGGGCGCGACTATCTCGGCTCGCAATCTTTCTAGCCAGCTCCTGTACGCTCTCAGGGCAACAGGCGCGTCCTGACAAGTCACTGATCACGACACAGCCAGCGCAAGATGTCAGCTCCCAACTCCGCCGGCGCCGGCAGTTCCGGTCAGAGCGTGTCATTAGCAGCCCAATCGACTTTGGCAGATTTGACAGCATGCGTACGAAGGACCAAGGGCGATATTCCCCCGCCGCTCGTCGGAGCCTCGACGACCGTCATTGGCAATCGCATGTACCTCTTCGGCGGCAGACTTGTGCCGACGCGTGTCATGATAGACGACCTGTACATTCTTGACCTGCCTACGCTGACGTGGAAGAAAGTACTGCCAGTCTCCTCGCCTCCAGACGAGCAGACCACAAAGCCGAGCAAGCAGGCCATACGCGCGACACGCAAGACGCAAGTTGGCGACCCGGCAGCTGACGATTCAGACCAGCAGTCTTCGGGCGACGAGATCGATCTAGATGAGGCCTCGCTCGCAGCAGAGCAGCAGCGTCAAGTACAAGCCAAACAGGACACCTTGCCGCCTTCGCCACGTTACTTTCATTCTGCCGAAGCCTATGGGGATAAGCTCCTCATTTTCGGGGGCATGGGATATGAGCCAGATGCCGACAGGACAGCCGAGCCAGCCGCCGACGAGCCAGAGACGGGACTGTGCGTCATGAACGATCTCATCGTCTTCGACACGCACACTCAAACTTGGTCCCATCCTACAACCTCGACGGCGCTCATCACACCGCTTGCTGAGCCTGTCAGGGGCCCCTCGGCGCGATATGCGCACCTCTCGTCAATCTCAAATGATTGCCTCGTCATACTTGGCGGACAGGATCTAGCGAATACATATCTGCAAGAGATGAACGTATTAGATCTCAAGCGCATGATGTGGATCGAATCCCGCGCGTGGGATGGTCACTGCGGAACATATCGTTCCGTGATAGCATCGCGCAAGCAAGGTATCCGTTTCAACGATCCCATCACATTGGCCACGACGTTGTCGGCAACGACCTCACGTGAGGCGTCTGTGCCAGACCTGCAGGGACGCAACGCCTCGCGTACATCTGTGGATGCGGACGACCCTTCGCGCAACTCATTCTACGCTAACGACATCGCTTTGCACATGCCATACTCTGTGCCAATCGACGCAGACTCATTAGAACCGATTTATCTGTATTCAAACTATAATTTCAGCAACGTCAAACGCTCCCTCGAGCTGATCTCTGCACCAACACCCGGTCTGAGCGAGTCATGTACGGTCACCAACCTGTCAGCTGCTATGACGGGCTTGCCCAGCCTTCCGCCCGGACTTCGCTTTCCGACAGGTAGCGTCATCGGTCAACACCTCGTCATCTCTGGCACATATCTCAGTCATCAGATGAGTTGCTTTGCGATCTGGGCACTCGACCTGTCTCACGTCGGTCAAAGTGATCCCGCCTCGCTATCATGGCAACGCATCGATCCGGGCTCCATCATGGCTCATGGGGCCAGCTGGAACAAAGCTGTCACGTGGAAGAACACCATGGTCGTTTTAGGCGATCGCGACAGAGATATTGCGACCGATTACGACCATAGACAGGTACAGTCTTGACGTGGGGCCCGTGACGCGCTGACAGGAAAGCGTAGACAAACTTCAATCACGTTGCGCTCGTGGATCTCGAAGCGTTCGGCATTTATCAGCCCCCGCCCCAGATTTTGCCAGTACTTGCACAGGAATACGGTCTGACGAGTCTTTCAGAGCCCTACCTTTGTGACTTCGAGATCGTCTGCTCCGACGGCAAGCGCGTTGGCTGCTCACGCAGGATACTCGAAGAACGATGGCCTCTCTTTCGCGACAAGCTCAGCCAGTTCCGCAAAAAAGCCGGCAAGGCCTACATCGCGGCAACATCCACGGCTCCACTCGCACCCGGCGACGAAGATGGTGACGAATCAGATGTTGAGATCCCTTTAGAGACTGGGACAGGCGATGCAGCATTGCAGCTCAATATCACGCCACGCTCGATGGCCTTACCCGAGCCTGCTGCAGTAGTCACCGCTCTGTTGCAATACTACTACACACTCGCCATCTGTACCTCCTTGCAGCAAGCCTTGCCGAATTTGGTCGCAATGCTACTCTTCGGCCGTCAAGTGAAAGATGTCAACTTGCAAGCGCTTGTCGTGCATGCTCTTCATTGTCATCTATCTCAGGGTCAGGGGAACGCCGCAATAGTCTACGAAGCCGCCACCCTCAGCGGCTGTATCGCGCTGCAAGTCAGAGCGCTGAAAGCGATGATGAATTCAAGCAGAGGACTGGGCACAACTAGGCAGCCTGGCCCGGGCGTTGCCGTTCCACTTGCACAAGGTGAGCCCGTCTGACATATACGCAATGCCTGCTTATTTGTGGACAGGTCAAGCCGCGACACAAAGAACTTCAGATGCACGTCCGCCTGAACAGAGCAGTCTACCGCTGCGATCAGCTGCCAGCGGAGTGTTTCCCACGGGCCGCAGCGACCTGACCGGCAGTAATTTGGCCAGCCTCAGCACAGATGCAGATCTGTTGATGGGCTTCTCGGCGAACCGCACGACGCATCGTCCAATCAAAGAGCCTGCGAAACAGTCTATCAGCCTGAAACAGAGCAGACTCGCGCTGACCGGTCGCTCATCTCTCGATCTCGTAGGCCGCAAGTCTTTTGCAGCATCGTCGACCTACAGTCTGGAGGGATCTGTCAGTCCCTCGTACACCGGTCGCTCATCGCGCATGGCTTCGATGTCTGCTTCCTCGGCTTCGACAGCACCGACCGAGCCCTCATCACCGCATTCGGAGAAGGCGCATCAAATTGGCTTCACGTCTGGTTATCTAAGTCAAAACGGTAGTATGCTAGGACGTAGCAGTACCTTGATCGACGACGATGCTTCGCTCGTGCCGACCATCACGTCAATTGCGTCAGGCTCGCTGTCGTCAAACAGCTTATCAGGCGCATCCTCACCTCAAGCAGCACCTTTGCATACCAATGTACTTTTCGGAAAGGGCGTAACTGGTCGTGGCGGTTCAGGCAAAGCCATGAAACCGCTGGAGGTGCTTGTCAAGGAGAAACTCGAATACATGGTCGTGCATGAGCAACGCTTACGCGACCACGGCGCCACTGACGACGAAGTGTCGCGCTGGCGAGCGAGCGAGATGGGCTCGAAATTGATGCGAAAAGCCGAGAAGCTTGAACGCAAGCAAGCCAGAGAAGTCAGCCAGAAACAGAAGCTTCAAGAGAAAATGGAGACAAAGCAACTTGTCAAGGCTCAAAAGCAAGAGCTCAAGCTGCAGCACAAGGCAGAGCTAGAGCTCAAGAAACTTCAGCTGCAAGCTGCAGAAACGATCTGAACAACATAGAGGGATTGCTTGCTGTATTTGCTGTATTGCAAGGGGATGCTGCCTGCTAGCCCGCTAGCCGATGCGAAGATCCTGCGTCAACATTTGCAGATTGTTTCTATCGAAGGAATCGTCTTCGCTCGCTGCGTTCATTGTCAGGTCATCGGATTCGTCCAGCAGAGACGGGAGCCAGGTCTCGCTTCGCGGCAGAGGTTGCTGGCCAGACGCGACCGCTATCGCGGAATTGAGCTTGCGCAAAGCGATCTCCTCTAGCTGTCTCATTTTCTGCTGAAGGCTAAGCGTTGTTGTCACAGCTCGCACAGCTCACGTACCTTCTCGAGGTCATCGATGGTCTGACGCTGTCGATCAGAGAATGCCTTGAGCAAATCGTATTCGGCTTCTTTAGTCTGACGTTCCCTGTCCGCCCGACGACGCTCGTGCCTGACTGCAGCTTCGACATCTCGACTGTCGTGCTCGATAATCATCTGTAGCTGTTTCACTTCTTCCTGCAGTGACCTGATGCGATCGCTACTCGAATTTGCCGGTTGCGATTGCTCGAGACGCTCGATATCGGCTCGCAAATTGGCATTCTGAGTCTGAAGCGTATCGACTTCGTCTCGCAGCAGCGCGCTACGCTCACTCTCACGATCCAGCTCGTCAAGTAGCTTCTGTGCTTCGGGCTCCGCCCCTTGTTTGACAGGCGATACTGCTCTAGGCGCGACCGGCTGCCACAGAGATCAGTCTCGGCAAAGCTGATCGAGTGCTGACGCACCTGATCCTTGGCATCGACTGTCTTCGAGCTAACAAGTAGGCTCTGTAGGTCCGCCATCTGTTTTTGCAACTGTCATCGCACGTCAGCAAAGCCTTCTGATTACACTGTTGAGTGGCGAACTTCTTTAATGCTTTGCGCCGATGTTTCTTGGGATTTCGACTCCTCAAGTTGAGCTTCGAGGTGAGCGATCTACCAACAGATGTCAGCGAAGGCTGACATTGAAAGGCGCAGACTCGCCTGTATCTGATACTTGGTAATCAGCGCCTTCTCGTCATAGACTTCATTGCGCTCTGCACGGATCTCTACGCGCTTGACTCGAGCTGCAAACTTGAGTGTCGATTTGCTCTCTTCGATCGCCGTCAAGGATGGGTTGATGGTACAGATGACCGCCACGCGCGCTTCACCAGAGAGTGAAGGTTGGAGAATCGACGTAAGTTTCGAGTCGCGATACGGTATATGTGACCTCGCTTTCGTCTCCGTCAAAGCAGAGATGACCTTTTCGAGCGTCAGCAGACTCTTGTTGATGAACGCGCCTTCCATGCGTCGCTCTGATTGGCTGGTTGCCTTCTCGCTGCCGGCCAGATCGATGAGACTAAGCTGCGAGATAACGACGGCATTGGACGTGACGTCGCGTGACTCGATGACCATCTGGAAGACCGAGTGAGAACGAGATGAGCGAGCATTGAAGTCGGTCGACGAAGTGTGTCTGTTCCTCTCGCCTCGCTTCAGGAGCTCAGCGACTTGATGTTCCGCTGTTACGACTTCTTCGCGGAGGGGTGAGCAGAAGAAGCGCTTGTTCTCGTCCTGTCTGATGCGAACTTTGCCCTCTGTCGTCGGGTCGAGTAGATCTTTGAGAGCTTCATTGTAGATCTCGAGGTAACTTGCTCGTAACAGGAACTCTCGCTCTGGCTGGGAGCGTATGTAAGCGAAAATCTCTGTTACCGCGCGTGGGATGATGCCCGGGTTGCTCTCAGTACCAGTCTACAGATCGCATGAGTGTGCAAGATAGCCGGATGGGGACAGGCTCACCAGTGTGTGCGTCTTTCCAGACGCTGTCTGGCCGTAGGCGAAGATGACGCCATCGAAGCCTTCCATGGCGCCGAGGATGATCTGTCTGCCCGCCTCACGATAGACGACCTCGTTGTTTGTGCTTGTGACGACGGCATCGTAGGTAAATTGAGTCTCTGGCCTGTCCAGCATGCTGCCATGCAGAGATGACCCTTGTCGTGCGTAAGCAGCCTTGAGCGAGATCTTGCCATCCGCGCATTCTGCTGCCCAGGCTTCCTCGCCGTTATCTTGACCTTGTGCGACAAGAGCCGAAGCGGCAGGGCGCATCCGAACACAGACAAAGACGTTGTCCTGGCGGTCACGGGGCGCATCTCGTTTGTCTTGCCCGTAGGTGACCGCACAGCTTACAGGGCCAAGTGAAGCGGCAGTGATCGTATCGGAGATACCGAGTCCTACGCTGGCTTGGCCGAAGCTACCGCTACCCGGCGATCGAAGACTGAGGAGACTCTTTTGGGGGGAGAGCGTGCGCACGGGCGTCGCAGTCGAGGTAGGGCGATCGCATCGCTCAGCGCCAGCAACACCTACTTTGCGTCTGGGAGTGGCTTCCGAGCTGATCTTAGCCTTCACGCGGACGTTGCTGTGCTCGGGAGCAGTCAGGGGCGCGCGCGGTCGGGCGGAAGCAGCGGCTGACAAGGCAGATGCAGGTGTGACACCGCTGAAGCGATGGCTCGAAGGCCCTCTCTGTGGCGTCTGGAGATTATGCTCGCCAAGAATGCTGGTTCTGTAGACTGATGGTCCATTCGATTTGCCGTTCGAGCCAGCCAAATCACCCTGCGTGTGGTTCTCTTTCTCCTCGCTGCCCGCGCGACTGACTTGCAAACGAGGAGACTGCCAGCCCTGAGGGAGCAAAGGACTGCCTGCGAGCTTCGGACTCGATGGCAAGCTCTCGCCGCCGGTATATGACGAGGTAGATGTTACTTGCGGTCGCTTTGGCATGAAGCCGTTTGTACTCGATTGAGGACCACCGGGCACACTGCCATTCGCTGCCACTCTTGCGAGCGCAGACGATGCCGGACCGTTCATTGTACGGCAACGACGCCCAGCGACTTGGCCTGGCGAAAATCAATCGCGACAGCAGACGTGGACATTGATCTTTCATCGGGCGTGCCTGTCACGTGATCTATACTGCCCCGGACGGGCGCCAGCGCAGGACTGCCTGACCCGAGAGAGCTGGGCGAGTCAGCTTCTCGACATGAGCTCCTTCGCGACACTCGGTCTATCCGCGAGCAGAGCAATGCCTCCGGGCACAGGCGCCCACCTTCAACGAGGCGATCGTACAGGGGAGCAAGTCCTCCGGTTGCCTCTTGGTCAAGCGACCAATGGACACCATCGCGCTCGCAGTGTCAATGGGCATGCTCATCAGTACAGTGACACCAGCGACATGTTTGCCAACTTCTTTGAGCCCGAGCAAGGCATCGCTGCAGAAGGCAGCACATCTGCAGGCATCACTACTCGCAAGAAACGCAAGCCCAACCCCAAGCCATCAGTGCGACAGAGCCGGCGCGCAAAGTCTGCGACTGTGAGCGATGACTTGCAGTTTGGCGAGCCAGGAGAAGGCGAGGAAGAGCATCGCAAGATCCCGATTCACTACATCAGCGAGAAGACCAAGAGGAGCATCACCTTTTCCAAGCGGAAAGCGGGCATCATGAAAAAGGCAAGCCAGATGATTGTCGAATGAGCATGTCATCCTTGACGATGATGTCTTGGCAGGCCTTCGAGCTCTCGACCCTCACAGGCACTCAGGTCGTGCTGCTCGTCGTATCAGAATCTGGCTTGGTCTACACTTACACGACTACACGCTTCCAGCCACTGGTCAGCCATCCTGTCGGACAGGACATCATCAAGCAGTGTGTCGCTGGCGAGACTGACTTGAGATCGCCCACGCTTGCCGCGGAAGCGCCCAGTCGGATGCAGAACATGACCAGTCTCAAACCGATCAGGCCGTCTACGCAGATACAGGGCGGCCAAGTTGCGTTGGACTTGCGGAACCACACAAGTCATTCTACCGAAGCTGAGACCCCGCTCGAGCATTCAGCGAGCACGCCAGTCAGCCTCAACGCTATCATGGCTCGACAAGAAAGCGGCATGCGCCCGCCCTCTGATCCTTCGCCATCGCCTCGTACACGGCTTTCGGATCTGTCGGCTGACAGTCCCTTGGCTCCTCGCCCGAGATCTCTATCGACATCAGGCACGTTTCAGCAAGATCTCGACCGCGCCAAGAGAGAGCAAGACGCCCAGGGTCAGAATAGGCTCGTCCGCGTCTACGAACAGTGGCATCAGTATACGGACGATTACAAATTGCCACACTCGCCGGGCCACGCACATCCGGCGTCCGCGCCAGTGCAGCAAGGGGCTACCGGCTCGCCATTGCTCATCAAAGGCGGCTCAGCGTCATCCGCAAGACCTAGCTCATCTCAAGGGGAGCCGTCCAGCTCCGTGTTGATCGATCCCAATCTAGACTCGAGGGCTGTTGCAATCGATGCGGGGCCTTCTCCGTCCTCGCCTTCGCGAGTACATTACGTGCCGCCTGTTCCGCACGCCGATCTGATGCCCTCATTCTTTTCGCGCTACGGTCGAGCACCTCGCACTGGCGTCCTTGCGATCGATAGTCTAGGGACTAGCAAGATACTGGCAGAAACCAAGGAGATCATTGCACAGAGTGGCGTGACCGCCAGGAGCGGCGATCCTGCCCACGTCGAGATCGACGGCGACCAGCTAGCCGCACTCTACGCAAGTTACGGCGACAAGGTCCGTTCCGTCGCTTCCCGGGCTCCACAGACGCCCGCGGAGCCCGCTAGAACGCCTGCATCTGATCGCAGCCGTCGGAGCTCGATTGAATCGCCGGCCGCGTGGAAAGCAGCCTTTCTCCAGTCGCGGCCTACATCAGCAGACAGAACGTCAGCTCTTATGAACGATCCATCCGAGTCGCCTGATTAGCGCATACATGCTCATTGCTCTGTTGTTGATGCGCCAGCTTGTCTGTTGTCTACAATACAGCAACAGAGGTACAACACCACCTTGCAATGAGTAAATCAGCCTAAGAACCGAGTCGAGCGAGTATGAGATGGATCAGCCCGACAGTATCGTTCGCTCGCTTCGCATCAGCGACGAGATCATGAACATCGACAGCAGAATTCAGTAGCTGCGGGCCATATCAGAGGATTTCATGTGCGATCGTGCTACATACCTTTGCGTCTAGTAGGTGTGGCGAGCCAGACGACTGACGCTCAAAGCTTATGCTGATTGTTGCCAGCTTTCCCGCTGCCGGCGAGCCTATATTGTAGACCACGCGAAGCTCGCGCGGCGGTGTACCAAGCGCTTCGCAAGAGACGATTCCAAGTATGTTCTTCAGCAGTGCTGTCATTGTCTCAAACCTGAGCTGAGCATCAGCAAGCGCCTCTCTCGAGATAGTAGATGAGCGTCTGACCATTTACAAGCGTTCTCCACGCGTCGATCTGCTTCCTCAGCGCTTGAGCGTGCCTGGGCGGCCTGTCGCTCGGCCTGCTGCACGCGCTGCGCCGATTGCTCGAGGGTCCGCTTGCGTAAGGTGGCAGACTGCTTCAGCTCCTCCATCTTGACGCGCTTCTGAGCGGTCAGATCTTCGAGCCTCTGCATTTCCTCAATCTGTTGGACTGTCAGCCGGGCATGGTGCAGACTAGGCGCTCCTTGCCTGATCCTCTGTGAATTGCAATGCCTCTTCCGTCGTCATCTGCTGCTCTTGACTGCGCGAACTTCGAATGAGAGCAAGCTCGAAACGCATCTCTTCTATTTCTGTGAGCATGATGCGCGCCTCCTTTGCCGCTGCCGACTGCATGGCGTAGTCTCGCTGGAACAAGATGGCCGCCTCGCTGAAGTCGCGCTCCAATGCTTCTGCACGTCGCTTCGTCGCCTTGAGCTCCGCCTTCTTGGCCATGCAGGCTTGCTCTGTCGTCGTGCACGCTCAGCCTCTCGCAAGGTCGATGAAAGATCCCTACCTGACGCGTCATTGACGGCCTGCGTGATGGTCTTGCGCTGTGACACATCGTCGCTGAATGCTTTGCTCATGTAGCGTCGCTGGATGTTCGACTCGATCCAGGCAAACTTCATCTTGGGCAGATGAGACTGCATACCCATCTTAGCTTTCTAGAGGTGTCCAATACGCGCATAGCATACTTTGAAGGCGCTGATGTCCGAGGCTACCCTCCTCACGTCCTCTGGATCAACATTGACCTGTAGACTGTCTCCGAGCACCGTGACAGGAGCGATAGAGCCGGCCGGGAGCGCCTTGCTTCCGTCTATCTGGCGAATATCTTGCAAGAGCGCACGACCGAGCTCGAGCTTCTCTGGCCTGATCTGACTCAGAGCGCTGTACACACATTGAGCTGGTAGTATCACAGTCCGGGCATGGACGTACGTCTCCATCTCTGTCGGAAGTGACATTGCTCGTGATGGCGTTGTTGACTTCGCGAGCGAGCGAGACGCGACTTTTGCCAGAGCCAAGCCAAGCCAAGCCAAGGCCGCTGCCAAGTCCTCCCTTCATCGCCCGCTGAAAGTCTTCAAAAATGCATTTGCTATCTGGTTCGTCGCAATACCCTGGCACACATGAAGTCTGCAACGTCGGCGTTGACCGTGCTGGCCTTTGCTGGCTTCAGCCTTGCTCAAACTCCAACGACAGACGCTGCCGCCCTCTCGGCTGCAGCGTCAGCGGAAGCTGCCTCTGGGACAATACTCGTCGAAAAGCGTTTCACATATCCGGGCGGCGTACCCTACCGCGTCGATGTGTCCAACGGACCCCGCGGCCTCCAGACGGGCTACAACCTCTGCAACAGCACAACAGAGGGACCAACTTCGCTGTGTCAGACTGCGTTTCTGTCCTCGATTGAGGACTTTTGCTTGGTCATCCGACTGCTCGTAGAGACGTCATTGTGCTTACATCTCTTTGCAGTGGGGACCCCAAGAGCCCAACTCGATCGTAGGCGATACAGAGGGCGAGATGGTGGCCTGGTGCACACGGCCAGGCAAGGGCACTCGACTGATCCCAGAGGGTACAATCAGAGGAATGCAGTTCATCACTACACCTGGTTACGTACAGATCACAGGCACGTTGGATCAAAGCAGGATCAACATCGCCACGGGCGATTATGGTGGCGAGCTAGACTCTGCCGGAGCGGATCAGAGGGGTAATCCTCTCGGCGGATTGTTATTCACGCAGGCATTCAGCAACACGAGTGATCTGACGGAGAGCACTCCGTACACCCAGGTCATTCGCTGGCATCTCTTCCTGGGCAATGATCATTTCTGTCTCAAGGCCTGCAGGCCAGGCGGCGATGATTACAGACTCTGCGAACATATCTATGACAGGGTACGCCAATTCTGTGCATCGGTATTCTGCGGCTGACAACTGAATAGATCGGCGCTCGATACAACTGTCTCGCCGAGACGCCAGAAGACTACTTCGAGACCTGCCAAGGAGAGAATCAGGAATATCCGGGCGTTTATACTTCAGATGGACAGGTGTACACATACACACAACCCCCGGAATCTCTAGGACCCATCACCTCAATCCCTTACACGCCCGTGCTGCCGGCTTCCTCAAATTGCGTCACCATGACGAGCTCGCTCATCTTCACAGCCGCAGCTGCTATCGCATCATCTGCCAGTGCTTCATCTGCCAGTCGAGCCAGCGTTGCGAGCGCATCTTCAGCAAGCCTGGCGAGCGTCGCGGCGGGTACTGCGAGCACTTCACCCAACGCAGCCGCCACAAGTGTGCCTACTGGCGCGCCAGCTTCTACAGCGACGGCAGTCTCTGACAACTCTGTCAGCGGCGCAACTCACGACCATCAGGATCCCATCATAATCTTCGCGTCGGCAACATTTCTCTTGTCGATGATCACGCTCGTGCTCTGACGGGATTGGCTTCTTGATGTAGTCATGTATCTTCAGCCCAATCATGCGCGATTCGCGCGGTGTGAAATTACTGATTGCACCACTCGTCCCGTCAGCGTATCAGGCGGATGACACAATCCGTGGGAAAGATCGCGAGGCAGACTGTCGGCGCGATCGGACGAAATCTTCAGGGAAGCCAGCCTTCCAAGGCTCAACGTGTACATTCGAGTCAGCCTGACGCGAGCGCGACTGAGATCGACATGGCTGATGTGATAGTATGCGTAGCGACGTCGTCTTGCAGCCGCGCAAACTAATCGGATCAGCGATAAGCTATGGCTTCACATGTTTGCGATATTTGGACGGTAAGTCGTTGACAGATTTGAAGCCGGGTGATTGAGAATAGATGCCAGATCGAGAACCAGGTGCAGCTAGATTGTTCCGACTCTCGACTTGGCCCTGTCACAGTCGACCTGTTTTTACAGACCAGTGCATGCATTGCGATGCGATACATAATGGCTCGTTCCTCGCGGATGCATGAAATGAGACAAGGGCACCGAAACGAATCGCAAATGTGCAAAGGGCTCGCTCAATCTCGTAAACCCTTCTTACGACTGAGTTTCGATGAGGAGAAGATGACAAGTGTGCTGAAGGACTGTACGCTGCGCGAACTTCGTCTCACCTTTTCAGTGGCTCTGTCACTCAGCAGAGTGTTCTACACCGTGCTCTGAGTCCACAAGCTATGCGGGTATACTGTCACTAGCTGAGCCTCGGATTCACATCGTCATAAGGCACGCTTGCTCGCCTGCGCCGAGTCTACTTCAAGCTGATCCGGATGGGATTCAGTGGCCCCACGGGACATGATGAGCTTGAACCCGACTCGATTGCGCACTCGCTAACGCAACCCAAATGCAGCTCTTGCTTCGTTGCGTCTCAAGTGGCGGATGTCGGTCGACTGATCATGCGAGCTGAAGCGATCGTCCTTCATCAAGGATGCGCTCTCGAATCGAGTTCCTCGCGTGTCTCTATCAGCTAGGCCGGCCTTGCTGGGAGCGAGACCATCGCTTAGGCTAGATCAGATCAGAGACGATCGCTCGATCTTTCGAGAACCAGCCAATGTCGCTACGAACGAACATCTCGGATCGTGATTCTGACACAAATATGAGTCGTCGCCGCGCATTCGACTCGCCTGAGACCGGCTTAGTGCCCTTGTATGTTCTGCTGAGTTGTGCGTATGATGCATGCTGTTGCGTGCCGTAGGTGTATGACTATCGATCGTCGCGTAAGGCGATGGAGTAAATCGATGCAACCTCACTAAAGCTATCTGCTGAGAGAAAATGAGGTCTATCGGCCGCAACGAGAGACCCATGAAGCTTTGCGCTTGTCTGTTTAGACCAACAGGAGGTGAGGAACTAGCTGATTATGTCAGACATAGCCGGAATGAGACGAACCAATCAACTCAGTCTCTGTAGCGGACGCGCCTCGCAAAATCCCGACAGAAATTAGCCTCCAGGAGTTATCAACGTCAACTGATGGTAAAATCTCAAAGAATACGGGGTGGTTTGATGGCCTCTAACACATCAGAGATTCACTATCGACTATGTTCGCTTCAATTCTGGGCACTCTTTGTATCTTCTTGCCAGCTTGATAAGCCATCAAGGGCTGTTCGAACGTCTCATGACATCCAGTAAATGTGACAACTATGGAGCACTACTCCAAGTTTACTCCAGGTGGACTTGCGTGCTGTCAGTATTTCACCTACGACAATGACTTGACTATTCGTCAACCTGTATCGCCTTTTGCTACGCATTGCTTCAATCGCAGATAGTGCACACATGCTTTCGACTCTGTATGGCTTTACAGCAATCGGCTGAAACCGCCGCAAGCCATCGTCTTGCAAGCTACTCAGAAGATGATAATAACATCGTGCGGATCTATACAGCCAGGTCGCTTTAATCTGCATAGGTGTGTGATCATCTCAATGCAAGAAATAGTGCGCAAATTCCACAGCTCGCATGGGCAGTCAAAGTAGAAGATTGCAATCATATTGGTGCTATCGCATGCTTAGCTTGGCGTGATGATCTGGAGCGATCCAGTTGCGATCAAGTCGATGCCGATGGGTCGAGATGATCCGAGTCGGGTGCCGCCAGAGTCAATATCTGTGAATGCAGTGCCTCGAGCACCTGGCCAATCATCGGCTTGCGCCTAGGCGGGGATACTTNCGACGAGTTGCAACTCAGCTACATGCAATTGATCATGCCCGAGCGCCCGCAGGCTTGCCGGATGCTGAAGGCTGAGAGTCTCGCCCAGTCCGAAGGTGACATACAAGGCAAAACGAGTGCGAGTCGATGCCGATGTTGGATCGAGATGACCCAAGTTGAGTGCCGCCAGAGTCACTATCGGTGAATGCAGTGCCTCGAGCACCTGGCCAATCATCGGCTTGCGCCTAGGCGGGGATACTTTCGACGAGTTGCAACTCAGCTACATGCAATTGATC